AGGAAGGGTTGTGCCATACTCATGGGAGGGAAAGGAAATTGCTGCAGCTAAAACACTGTCTCTGGTGATCAAGTTGGCAAACACTGGTGCAGCTGATTAAGTGGGCGAGTGGGACGCAGTGGAAGAAGGAACGGGGCCAATCCCACAGCAGCTCCAAGTGAAGGTCTCTGAATTATACAAAGTACACCAGGAAACCTTGAAGGACCTTCATGGGGGGGGGGGTATTATGACCATAAATCAGGCTGCCATGTTACCCCGTCTTCATGAGCCTCTTCAATCAACCACCCCAATCCAAGTTTCCAGTGGCAGAGGATCTGGGGCTGCTGAGACGGTTCAGTAGGTTAGGGTGCTGTAGCCGCCAAGCTTGCTGATCTGAATTCAAGCCTCGAAATCTACATGACTGAAGGAGGGAACCAACTCCCTAGCTTGTCCTCTGACCTCCATACCCACACTTATACCCCTCCCCCCCAGTAAGTGAACACATAGTTTTAAAAGGGTTGAGGAACTGGCAGCCCTTGTGGCCTAACTTTGTCTCTCATTGCGGATGACCTGAAATCTCCTAGTTTGTTCTAGGGAAAACACCCATGACCTTTCTGGAAGGACCTTGGAAGGGGTATGTACCCACATCCACACAGGTGCAACAAAAGACAAGTGTTCAGATGGAAATTTCAGCAGTTCCTTGTCGCCCTTGCCCTTCTTCATTAGGGGTCACCAGGTGAGCAGTGGAGAAATACTGGAGGCAACAAGGGACTTGGCTTCTGAGGATTTGAATACACTAAAAGCCTAAGTAGGTCCTGGTTAGAAAAATGAAATGTTGCCGGGCGGTGGTGGCGCATGCCTTTAATCCCAGCACTCGGGAGGCAGAGGCAGGCGGATTTCTGTGAGTTCGAGATCCTGGTCTACAAGAGCTAGTTTCAGGACAGGAACCAAAAAGCTATGGAGAAACCCTGTCTTGAAAATAAAAAAAAAAAAAAAAAAAAAGAAATGTTATAGAGTATTTGATCTGTTGAAATAAATTCAGCCGGGTGGTGGTGGTGCATACCTTTAACCCCAGCACTTAGGGAGGCAAAGGCAGGTGGATCTCTGGGTTCGAGGTCAGCCTGGTCAACAGAGTGAGTTCTAGGATAGCTAGAGATACACAGAGAAACCCTGTCTCCAAAAACAAAAACAAACAAAAAAAGAAGTTCCTAGATTAATGTAACTCCATGTCAGTTGCAACTCTGTGTGTGTGTGTCTGTGTGTGTCTGTGTGTGTGTGTGTCTGTGTGTCTGTATGGAGACAGGGCCTCTCTATGTAGCTGACTGATCTGGTGGCTTTGAATTAACAGAGATCTGCCTGTCTTTGCCTCCTGAGTTCTAGGATTAAAGGTCTATCCCATCGGGATTGGACTACTTTTCTGGAGCTTCCCAGGTGCTGGGCCTACAGGCCATAGAGCATCACTCCCAGCTCCGACCTTAGTATTGATACCTTTAGCTATCATCATCATCATCATCATCATCATCCTCATCATCAGTGTTAGAGTACAGAGAAATGGGTTTCACTGTTACATTTTCATACATATACTTCTCTGGAACAGAAAACATGATTGCCAGCAGTGGCCAACATTAAGGATTTACTGAGCGCCAACCAGTGAGCTTGTGAGGTTGTGTTTCTTGATCCCGATTTACAAACCCAAACTGTAAGGCCTGGGGCAGTAACTTGCCAAGGTCACAGGGCTGCACAGTGTTGAACCTGGTTTATCCTCCAAGCCCGTGTTTTTTCTTTTTAGATTTATTTTAAATTGTAATTATGTGTCTCTATGTGGGCATGGGTGTGAGTGCTGAGGCACTGGATAACCTGGCGCTCAAGCACAGGCATCTGTGAACCCCATATGGGTGCTGGGAACTGAACTGTGGGTCCCCTGCAAGGGCAATATGCACTGTTAACTGTGAGCCACCTCTCCGGTCCTCACAAGCAATGCCCTTATCTGATTACCCTAGAATGTGTACGGGTATGTAAACCAGTGCTATTCAAGAAGAACTGACTCCTGTCAGATGTAAAAACTTATTTCAAAGAACCAATATTTATAACTATACAGTATTTACTGAAACCAAGGTGTATGGGAGGAAATGGAGGATTCTGAAATACACAAGCCGAAAGCAAAAGTGTAGCAAAGAACAAGATGATAATTATTTAATAAATGGAGACTGCACAAACAATAACCATTGTGATAGAGGTGAATTAAATCCACATTTTACTCCCAAATACAGCAAAAATAAAATTGGACAGGTGATCATAATATAACAAAATATTCAAATAAATTATACAAGCTAGCAGGTGGGTTACATAAAAGCTCACTGTTAGCATCCAAACAACCGAACAACAACCAGAGGACTAAAATGACAAATGAACTGTAAACTAAAACGAAAAGGAACATCAGGCTGGGCAATATTTGCATCAAAAACAAAAGCAAAACATCTTTAACAGAAAAAAAAAAAAAGCCTTGTGTAAAGTTAGAAGAGATTCAGCTCCCTAAGACAATGGATATGAACCACAGGTCATTCACAGAAGGGGAAATATAGAGAGCAAATGGGGACATTTTGAGTGTTTAGTTATCCAAGAAATGTCAAATAAGGTAATCTTGATAGCTGAAGATTATTAACATAGGCATTATTAATGTAGGGGAGAAAAGATGTCGCTCAGTGTTTAGAAACATGCATTAAATTCCTTATGCTGTTCCTGGCTGATGAGAAGCAGTGGGGCAATGCAGGGCCATTCACAGCTTCCCACTTGAAAACTTCCCCACTCCTAGAAATTAATCCCCACGTGTAGAACTCAAGGATATGCAAGCAGATAACCGCAACGAAATAAAACACACAAAAAATGTAGGAACTGCATACCTTAAAAATGGTCATGCAAGCAAAACATGTTAGTGAAAGTAGAAAATAAAAGAAAATGTGTGCTTGCAAGCATGCAGAAGTATCTATGCAGAAGGTTTTGTTTGGGAACATCCAATTGTGTAGAAACGGATATTCTTTTTACATTCTTTTCTTGTTACCTTGTCTTTTCAGTGGTACTTACAAAAAAAAAAAATCATCTGGTTTTTGTAATGTGGGTATTTCCTAAGGTGGCCAAAACCAGAATGATGCCTAGTGTAAAGCTCCCAAGACATTGTGTGTGGGGTGCGTGTCTGTGTGGGCGCCTCTTCGCTCAGAGGCAGGAGCCCTGACTGACCGTCTAGGGCTGGACAGTCTGGTCTCATTGGCACTCCCGGGTCCTACGAGTGCTGGGTTTCCCTTCTGAGGGAACTTTCTGGAGCAGGTGTGTGTGTGCGTCCTACTGATACCTGTGCTAGCAGAGGAAGGGTTGAGTCGCCGAACCGAACTGCCCGTGGGCACCTCCGGATTCGAGACTGATCTCTGGAGATCTTAGGTCACCCTGTGCCTCCTGAGCAAGCCTGGACATCAGGTAAGCCGAGGTGCTCGAGTCGCATTTGGTAGAGCTAAGTAAGCACTCGAGTGCCCTGCTAGATCTCAGAGGGACACGCGGGATTCCCGATGTGGCCGGGGCGGCGGGAGCAGACCTTTTGGCAGCGGCACGCGCCCATTGGGAACCTGCTGAGCCGCTGCCTCTCTGCTAATGCCATCTTGCTCGAGGTGGTCACGTGCGGGCTACTGTGGCGCGCTTCGCCTGGGATGGACGGATCAGGGACTTTGGGTCCCGCCGAGCCGCTCTGCCCAGAAGCCAAGGTGAGGTCTTTCTCTCCAAAAACCCAAGCAGGGGCCAGGACGCGCTTCTACATCCCGAGAGCTCGGCTCCCGACCGTGCTCAGTTCACGGCGCCGTCGGGGATCAGAGGCCCACGGCGCGCCGCCCCGGCCTCGCGGGCGTCCTCGGCGACTTGCCGGCTGGGGACGCGACCAGAGCAATGGACCCAGGCCCGCGGACGCCTCCTCTCCTGTGCAGCTCCAGCCCCGCGACCCGGCGGCTGCGGCAGCGGGGAGGTCGGGCCGTGAGCGCCCCAAGCTCGAGGCCAGGGGAGCGGGTCGCCCGGAGGACCGCGGAGCTGGGGGGTGGGTGGGGGGCGCGGGCGCATGCGCCCTGCGTCTGTGCCATATTGGAATGAGTCGGAGCGCGGAGCGGCGCCGCCGCCTCCGCCGGAGCGCGGGTGCAGGGGGGCGGGGAGAGCTGCCGGCCGCCCCGCTCTGCCGGGCCCAGCAGGAAGGAGGGCGCGAGCAGGCGGGCGCGGGCGGCGCGAGCGGAAAAGGCGCCCCGCGCGGGCGAGCGCAAAGAAAAAAAAAAAAAAGGAAAGAAAGAAAACGAGCGAGCGAGCCAGAGGGGAGGGAGAGCGAGCGAGCGCGCGCGCGAAAACTCCGTCAGGTAAAAAAGCGGCGCGACCGGCAGGGCCTTCCCGCGCGGGCGGCGGCCTGAGGGGCGGTGCGGCTCTGTCCCGGAGAGGCCAAGCAACTTTGCCAGCGGGAACCGCCGGGACCCGGCGGGGGGCGGCCGCGCGGCTGGAGGCGCCAACGGGCGGCGGCGGCGCGTGGGGCGGGGGTACGGCGGGGGGTAACGCGGCGCCAGCGCGCGGCCTGGCGCGGTCCCGAGGTTCGGCGCGCCGGCCGCCGGGGCTACGGGGACGCGCCCGGGCACCTCGCGGCCGCGGCGGAGGCTGGTGGCCCGGGGCGAGGGGACCGGCGAGCGGCGCGCGTCAGCACACAGCTGGGCGCGGGAGGCCGAAGTGGCCCGGTGGCAGCAGCGGGCGCCCAAGTTGCGGGCTCCGGTTCCCCCCGCCCCCAGCTCCCCATCGAGCTCCCTCCCGCCGAGCCCCCGCGGACCCGCCCCCCCCCCCCCCGGGCTCGCTCCGGGCGGGGCGCGAACCCGCAGCCCGCGCGGCCGCTCAACTTCGCTGGGCCCAGGCAGCAGCCGTGCGGTGGCCAAGCGTCTTTGCCTCCGCCGCAACCGGTGGCTCCGGCCTCCCCGGCGCTGCGGATCGAGAGGCGCCGCCGCCCGATCCCCCACGCGGACCCGTGGTCAGCGTCCCGAGGCCACTCGGCAGGTCCGTGACCGTTTCGATTTCTGTTCCCGAGTCTTGTTTTGTTCGCCGTAAAGACGACTGGAGGGACGAGCCGAGCGTCCTGCGAAGCAAGGCCTGCTCTTTGCGGAGCAGAAAAGCCTTGTGAGACGAGAAATAAATTCCCGCGGAAAGGATGGACGTCGTGTTAAGTTTTTCCCAAGACGCCAGCTGTTCGCCTGGGGTCTCGCACTAAGCTGTCAAGCCCAGGTCACCCCTAGAGCTTGCTGTGCGCCCAGAGTGGGCTGGGACGCTTCTGTCTCCAGTAGGGCTTTTTTACTTGGTGGGAGCTCTTCCTCGTGGGTCACTCAAAGCCGTTAATGACCACAGTGGTGTCTGGTGAGTCCTGTATTCATCAAAAGGATTTGAAGGAACTAAGATGCATTTTGTCAATATCTGCGTATGTCCTCTCCCGAATCACGATTTTTAAGATGTCATGCTTAACTTTATTTCATCTGAAGCAAAATGCCTGAGCATGTAACTGTTGGCTTGTCAGCTGTCTTGATAGGATGGAAGATGAATGTGTTTTCATAAATCCATATTGGGGCCTGTTAACTCGTGGCAGATGTTGAGCGCTTCTAGGCCACAGGTAGATTCAGAGTTCAGATTTGTTTGCAACGTCACGAACATAGCGGCCAGTTGGAGCTAGAGGGGAAACGGTTGTGTTATTACATTGTTGACAAGCTACCTTATCTTGGGGTAGGTTTCTACCCAGTGGAGATTTGATTTTCCTTGTTTGCAAAATAGGATAAGTAGATCACCCTTCTTTTGGTTCTAAGATTTGGAGACTTCTTAAAATGGGATTTAAGCGTTTCGAACGCCCTTACGATATGTGTCTTTATAAAAGTAGATTGGAAAAGCCATCTTATTAGCTATAGCCAGGTTAATTTTGTGAATTTTATTTGGACATAGGCATTTAGAGATGGCCTTTCAATCTACTTAAGAAATAAATTAGCTTTTTGGGGCTGGATTGCTCAGCGGTTAAGACCACTCAGTGACTGTTCTTCCGGAGGACCCGAGTTCAATTCCCAGCACCCACGTGGCTCACAACTGTCTGTAGCTCCAGTTCTAGGGGACCCAACACTCTCACACAGACATACATGCAGGCAAAACACTAATGCACATAAATAAAAATTTTAAAGTGTTTTAAAAATAAGAAATTGCCTGTTAATAGTGAAGTCCTAAGAGGACAGTGCAGCTTTGTTTTGCTTACGTATATCCTGATGGCCACATACACATTAATAAATGGAAGATTTTCAGCCCTCACCCCCAAAGGGTTTCCTGGAATTAAGTAAACACCTGCCCCTTCCCCAAGACAACCACCATTCTTACTTCTATCCCAGCCAGTGAATTTTCCCTCATAGCAGGATCTCTTAGAATGTGAAAGGGGTGGTATTAATAACTGAAGAATAGCAGGTATGTGACCTTGGTGTTGTGGGCGGTTTAGTTATGATGCTGTGTTTTTGTAATGCTGTAGGTCTTTTCAGTATCTACAGTGTCTAAGTTTTCCGACCTTTGATCTTTGTGGTCTGAAGGACATTTTAGCTGAGTAGGATTTGGTGTGTTTGAATTGGGTTTCTGGGAGTTTTTATGTTCACAGTTGAAGTTACATTATTATATCACTGCCCATTTGGGGATACAGATATATCTGTAGAGAGTAGGTTTGAAGGAAGAACCGTGGATTTCCCCAACAAGTTAGAGTTTAAGGTGTCAATCAGTAGGTGAGTTAATTCCTTAAAACATAGAATTTGCAAAGAAAATTGAATGAAAATTGATTTTTTTAAAGTCCAGTGAATTAATAATATGGATATAAAGCTTTAACAACCTTCTAAATGACAGCAGTTAACTTGATTTATGCATGGAGGATGTACACCTGGTTTATCAAATCATTAAAAGTCCAACAGTAAAAGCAAGAAAAAACATAAATAAAAATATGTCGGTGCAGTTTTTTTTAGTTCCTTTGATTTAAGCCATTTTTTTATAACCCTATGCAAAAGGTTGAAATTTAGATAAGTGCTGCAATAATTTGCCTGTATCTCCCAAATATCTTTTATTATATCTTTGTGCCCTTTGTTTCTACTGCTACAGGAGGCAACTTAGGTTCTAAGTGAATGCTTATCTTGTTAGTGCCCTGCAAAGGCCTGCGTTGTGCCCTCCCCCCCAGTCTGTGTGATAGAAAGTGGGAGTGGTTTACTGCCCATGTTAGAGATATATGTTGACTACTCCACAAAGTTCAAAGGTGTGTGTGTGTGTGTGTGTGTGTGTATGTGTATGAGAGAGGGGGAGGGATGGAGAAAGGGAGAGAGAGAAATGGCTTCTCTCTAAATAATTCCCTGTCTAATCAGCTAGTTGATGGGCCAGCAACTGATTTGAATTTGGTCATTTAACTCAAAGTGTATAGCTCATGAACTAATAGAGTACCTGATGATTTAGCCATCATTAATGAACTCCTTGATTTTTATTTTTTTGAAATCTTGGCTTTTCTTTGTGAAAACTGAATCTTTGGGTTGCAATTGAAGGAATAGATAAGAAACAGAAAATACAAAAGGGTGTTTCTTCTCTTAAATGTTTGTTTCTTTGGGAACCATGGTTTTCCCCTTACGTGCTCACAAGTATACAGAGATTTTAAATAAACAGATGAAAAACAGTGCTTTGCCAACAGGGCATGGTGAGATAGGCCTACAGTCCCAGCATTTGGGAAGCAGAAGGGTTAAAACTTTAAAGTTATCCTCTGCTACTCAGTGAGTTTTAGGCCATTATGGACTACATAAAACCCTGTCTCAAAACACCAAACCGAACCGTGTACTAAATAAACCGAACAGCCACCGAAGTGCAAAAGTCTTTGCCTGCCCGCACATTTGTAGGGTGACCTTTGCTTTCATGGTGGTAACTAGACAAGCTCTGCCTTAGAAGTGTGGTGTAGTAGCAGATGTCATTTGACTTTAATAGCTGTAGAAAAGATGAATGAACCAAACTTCATTGACCTTTTATAATGGCCTTATGTTATATTCACATGAAGTGACAAGTACAGAATATTTTTTATAAAGGCATTTCTGAATGCTAAATATTGTTATGTTAAACATTTCCATTTTTGCCGGGCGGTGGTGGCGCACGCCTTTAATCCCAGCACTCGGGAGGCAGAGGCAGGCGGATCTCTGTGAGTTCGTGACCAGCCTGGTCTACAAGAGCTAGTTCCAGGACAGGCTCCAAAGCCACAGAGAAACCCTGTCTCGAAAAACCAAAAAAAAAAAAAAAAAAAAATTTCCATTTTAAAAATGTAAACAGACTTTATGGCATTATTTGACCCATAACATTTTATAACAATTTCAGTGAAATTTAGAAAGGTACATGGCAGAGTGTTTTCTCTTAGGGAGCTCCAATTTTTTCCAACTTGTGTGTTTTGTGTTTGCAGACAGTTTTTCTATGTGCGTAGTTGTTAGATTGGTAAAAGTGTCTGGGGATCGTGGTTTCCCAGGAGGCTTTGAGCCATTAGACTTCAGGGAGTGGCCTTTGTTAGGCTGCTGCCGTTCTTCAGGTGATGCTAGCCCCACTGGAAATGGTTAAAAATAGAAAGGATGTAGTTAGGTTGCTGGAAATCAATGTTTAAAGTTTTCAAAAGTGAGAGTAAGGATAGGAATAAAAACAAGTTATTAAAAGAAAACAAATGTAGATTTTACTGCAGAAGTTCTCTTCTACACGCCTTTAAGTCCCAGTGCTTGGGAGGCAGAGGCAGGTGGATCTCTGTGAGTTCAAAGCCAGCCTGGTCTACAGAGTGAATTTCAGGACAGCAACCAGGACTGTTACACAGAGAAACCCTGTCTTAAAAAAAAAAAAAGAAGAAGTGGACCAAGAGTGGTGGAATGGGCCTGCTCTATGTAAGTTCTGTGTGTGGTACTGAAGAGCGATAACCCCAGCACTCAGGGGGCAGAGGCAGGTGGATCTCTGAGTTTGAGACCAGCCTGGTCTACAGAGTGACCAGGACAGGCAGGGCTGTTTACACAGAGAAACCCTGTTTCAAGAAACAAACGAAAGGCTGGAGAGATGACTCAGTGGTTAAGAGCATTGGCTGCTCTTCCAGAGGACCTGGGTTCAATTCCCAACACCCACATGGCAGCTCACAACTGTCTGTAACTCAAGTTCCAGTGGATCTGACTCCAGTACAAAAATTTCACTGGTCAAACACCACTGTATATAAAAATTAAAAAGAAAACCAAAAAATGTTTCTTTTTATAAAGGTTTTCACTTATTTTTGTATGATTGTGGGCATGGCATGTTTGTTCACTTGTTCCATTTTGGGTTTTTGTTTTTAAATGTGTTTATCTGATTCTACATGAATGAGTGTTTGCTTCCATATAGGTATGTGTAGCACTGGCCTAGTGCCTGCGAGGACAGAAGAGGGGGTGTCAGAGTCTCTGAAACTGAAGTTACAGATGGTTTCAAGCCACTTTGTGAACCCCTGTCCTCTGTCAAGAAAAACAGAACAGCAAGTACTTTTACCTGCTGAGCCATAGTCTCTCCAGTCCGTTCTGCCTGTTTTCCGGGCCGGGAGGTCTCTTGCTTTTTCTGCTGCTGCACTGCATATTGGTCTCTTGTCTCTACTTCCCTCCCATTTCACTGCAGGAACGCCAGGATTGCAGATTACGCCCCCCCCCCCCCCCCAGGTTTCTCTGTAACATCACTAGCTGTCCTGAAACTATCTCTTACAGATTAGGCTGGCATCGAACTCACAGAGTTCACCTGCCTTTCTCTTCTGAGTGCTGGATTAAAGGTGTGCACCACCACCACCTGGCTTTTTAAAGAGTTTTTACAATAAAATTTGTTTCATTTTGTTTTTTCATGATAGGGTCAAGATAGGGTTTCTCTCTGTAACATTCCTGGATGTCCTGGAACTTGCTTTATAGACCAGCCTGGCCTTGAACTCATGGAGATAAACCTGCCTTTGCCTCCCAAGTCTGGGACTAAAGGCATGTGCCACCACTGTCTGGCTTCAAATACATTTTATTTTTATCATGTATTTTGCCTATGTATATGTCCATGCATAACATGTGTGCCTGGTACTCTTGGGGTCAGAACTAGAGTTATTGACAGTTGTGAGCTGCCATGTGGGTGCTAGGAATTGAAGCTAAGTCCTCTGGAAGAGCAGCCAGTGCTCTTAACATGAGTCATCTCTCCAGCTCATGAATCTGCCCCCCCCCCCCCACTAAGGCATCTCGTCAGCCCACTGCAGAAGCTTTAACAAGGGTCTTTAAAAACACGTTCTCTAAATCCCACTCATCCCAAACAAACCCAATCTTTCCCGGAAAGCAGATACTCTTTGAGTACTCTGTACTCCAAGTCAT